CAGAGCGCCCCGGGCGGCCTTGTTTAAACGTGGCTGAAGGGCTTAAAACAACAGGAAAGGATTGACTTCCTCCTCCTCCCGCCGCCCTCTGCCTTTCGTGGGCGAATTTCTCCTGAATTGGGAAGATGCGGGGCTGAGGTTGAAAAGGGCGCTCACCCTTAGGGGCGGAGGACGGAGTGAGGTTAGGGTGGCTGTGGGGAGGGAAGTGAGGGGTAGGCTGGGGTTAAAAGCCAGGGAAGGCGGGTGTGGAGAATGGGTTTCCCGTTTGCAGAACTGGAGGAGCCCAGGGGCCGCGACATGTTGTAGGTTGGGCTAGGTGATCTCCAGAGGACCCTTCCAACCCCTGCCGTTCTGTGACACGGCCCCGGCGCCGGGAGAGGCCCTGGAGGCGGCCGGGAGCAGCGAGTCCCTTACCCTGGGGGTGGCTTGTGCCGTGCGGGGCACGGGGGAGCGGTTTTGAGCGCTTGGGAGTTGCAGTCTCCAACTGAAAAGCCTGGAACCCCCTTTGGCAGTCATCTCCCAGTCTTTGCATCGGTAGACTTGCAGCTTTGCGGCGTTGTTCTGAAATCCTGTTGGTCCCTCATGTTACAGCTGGAGTGGATCTTGGGGTTTGGATAGTCTGTACGACTGGAACAGTATTTAAGTCTGCTCTTAACTGTTTGATCAGTCAGGGCCTCCTGCTGCACATCTCCTGTAGAAGAATGGCGTATTTTTGTATGTGACTGGGTTTTTGAAATAGTCTGTGTGGATAATCGCACAGGAAGCAGCTTTGGATGTGGGTGAATTCTTAAAAAAGTGTGAACCTGAAGCATGTGCCTTCCTTCTGCAGAACCCAAATTGTTGCAGTTTCTGGAAAGACTGCTGTGCAGTCTAATGAGTTAGTCTGTTTCCAAGAAATGTGCACTTTTCCCTCCTTCATGCCTATTGCAGGTGAAGGCCATTCAGTTATTGTGGTTTAAAACAAAAACGGCTTTGCTCACACTATCACCAATAATTTCAAGCATTTTAGAGCCTTTGGTTTCTGTTTGTTTCATCTGCACTGCCTTTATGCTGTAGAAAACTGAGTTATTTCAGTTTCATTTTCAGTTTCACCGCTGGAGTCTCAAATAGCCTGGGGTTATGTGGTTTTGGTTTTTTTTAATCCAGACCCAATTATTTTAATTTCATTCTTATTTAGAAGTTTCAAGAAAGCTTTTTTAGTTAATTCTAGTTTTTAGCATAATTTGAAAACCTCCTTCACACAGAATACTCACCTGAGCAGGACAGTCTGGGTAAGCAATATAAATATTTAGGCATTGATACAGATACAAAAGATTCTCTATCAGTTTTAAGTGAATTTATTATGCACAGGAATTTACAGGATAGGTGCTTTAGCTTTGGACAGTATTCTAGGAACTAAAGACATTTTTCTCAGATGGTATCCTGTTTATATTTAGAAATTGCCTTTCTGTAATGTTCCAGACAGAGAAAACCAATACAGTTTGAGGTTTTGAGTCATGTTTAGTTCTCCAGAATCCTGGGGTTACATACACACATGCAATGAAGTGGCATTAAAAATACTCTATAGATTATGAACTGTACCTCATACTGGGAAAGTAGTTATAAAGGATCCATAATTCTTGGAACTAAGTTTGCCAAGATGGAGACGCTCGAGGTATAAACCTACTCCTTGCTGTTATTAAATTTATCTGTTGTAAAGTACAGCTCCAGAGGAATACTTTGTCACTTTCAGGATTCAAATGAAATAGCAGGCATAAATTATGGCATTCCGTGTGCTTATTGATAAAATATACTTACATGAAGCGTTTATGTGTGCTGGTATAAGTTATTTTTATCCCTATATATGAGGCATCCTTTGCACTGATAAATATTTGTTGTGTTGTATTACCATTCCCCTAGTTCCTGTTATGCTACAATGTGGATGTGATTTCTTTTATTTAAAAAAGCTGCATAGCAAGAATGTGTTGTATTTCAGTAATCTTTCAGCTGTGATGAAAACCATAATTAAGTATAAAAATAGTCTGAAAATAGTCTTAAGTGTCTTCCAGTACAGAGGCATAAAAAGGACACCACCTTGATGATTTTCAGAATGTACACGTCCTTTTAGAGGACTTGTAGTATGTTTCAGCCTCTAAATACTTTGGGTTCTGTCACAACTTTAACATAATTTTTGGTGAACCTCTTCATTTCATGATGAGTTGTGACCCTTAGGAGGCAAAAAGGCAGTCAGGAAACTGCTTGGACTTCCCCAAGATTCCTAAATGTTTCAAGAAATTTGGAATCAGTTCGGGGAAGGAATGAAATAAGGGACACACAAGTTAGATGATTTCTGCCCAACCTGTCTGCTGTAGATCTGAATGAGACAAATGGTCATATTGATGTAAACCTAAATGAGAAATAAGATGCTTCTCTTTAATTTTCTTACAAAATTTTTAAGGTGTCACATAGTGCTTATCGAAGATGATAAAATGAATTACATGTTTCTAGAAGCACTAGATATCTGCATAAAATTACTTCTTTTGAAAGAGCACAAATAAAATTTTCAGTATTGGATATCTATAGCTACACTTTTGTAACTTTTTAAAGTACCTCCGTAGCTGGTTGTGTTTTTCAGAATCTGAAGCTTTAGGTATCACAATAATTTTCATAATGAGATAGTGTGTGAAATGTATGTGACTGGTTTTGTAAGTTTTCATCTAAACCTTGCCAATTTTATAGAACAAACATTAATTGATCTTTAAATGATGAAAAATTGAACATTAAACTGATCTAATGTCATGTGCCATGAGCTTGCTTTCTATAGCTCACATAACTTGCTTCTGATTGAAGAAGACAGGGTATCTTCTGATAGGAAGATTTGCAAAATATTCATGAATGCTTCATAACTGTGAGTATAAAAATCCTTCAGTGAGGTCTCGGGCACTTACAAGGTTCTTGACTTTGGAAACAATCCAAGTGTTACCCTGTAGAACCTGCATCCATATGCTTTAGTGGTGAACGCTAGGCTATGTGAAAGTGCTGCTGAGTCTGATATTCTGTGACTTTATCTCCCCCATCTCTTTAACATAATTGAGACTGATTAGGTTGCCCTTGAGCCCCACCTTGATAGATCACTTTGCCTTCTTCAGTAGGGAAGTTCTTGTCCCTGAATTGCTAGTGGAAGTACTTCATCCCTTTCATTCGGAGTCTTTCTGTATCATTATTTGAATTGTTATCTAACATTCTTTTTTCAGCACTTCTTCTGGAGTTCTCCTGTTTTGGATTACCTTCTCTTTCTGTTTGAGCTGTTGGGTGAAATCTTAGGTTTATTTCCAGTTGTTCCAGTTGCCAGGAATTTAGCACACTGGAAAACAGTGTTCTCATTTAGTAAGTAAAAATATGGGAATAGCACCTCTAGATGGCTTGTTATTTAATAGGTAAAATTAATTGAAGGATTTTTTTTTAGTAGGGAACTCCAGCTGTAATAGAAAACCTGGCCTTTGTGCTAAGTGTGCTACAGTTAAATCCTGCTTTGTTACACACACGCAGCAAGATTTAGCTAGTGTAGTTTATAAGTGGTGCTCGGTTCACTGTGTAGCATATAGAAAAGGAATAACTGAATTTTAATTTTTGGTGTACTGCTGTACTTTTATATTTATTTACTTACTTTTAAAACCAACACTTTTGTAGTGTTAAATTTCTACTTGTTTTCCTACAGCAAAGCCTATCAATAAGTGATCAGAACTTGTACAGTAGAGTGCTTTTTCTTAAAATGCTTTAGTCTTTTCCTACAGTAGATTACTGTTCTAACTGCTAGTAGGTAGTATAATTAAAACTATTAAACCTACTTATGTGTCCACTTATCTGACACACACAGTACAGGATTAACTATCTAAAATAAAAAAAAAAAAAGGAAAAACTATAACTTTTGTTATAGTCATACTGTTTAATATCTGATCCTAGCATTTTCACATATTGTAAAAATATAGAAAAAACAATGCTGAAGATACAGAAGGAAAAAAACATTGAATTTACACAAAATATACAACTAGAGTAATGCCCCCTAGGATCTATCTTCTCAACTTACTGCATGTGTTGTATTTTGAGCTATGGCAAGTGATTTTGTTGTGTAATCGTAGCCAATAGCTACCCCACCACCAGAACATGGGTAGGATTGAGTGTTGCCTTTGCTGATCTCTGTCTGAACTTGTAGGGGGCTGAAAATATTTTAAATTAGAAATCGTATTCTGTACAAGCCATGTGTATAACAGCTGTTCCTAACTGACAAATGAACTTAGGAAATCTGCTGAAAAGGTAAGATGATGTTTCTTAGCATTATGCTGAAAGCTGAACTAAAGCTAAATTAACATGCAGAGAATATGACACTTCAGTGTAGAAAGTCTAGTCATGTTTTTATATTTGTTTAATTTTTGGTAGGAGTAGTGATGGTTTTATGTAAATTGTTACCCTTGCTGGCATCCCTTAGTGTTGTGAAACAGCATCTTTACTTAAGATAAGTCAGTGTGTTCAAGTAGATCTAAAAAAGAGATGGTTTCTAAAGCAGCTTAGTTTTGCAAGGTACCATCACCAAAACTCAAAGTCATGTTGGACTTCACAGCTGTCACCAAAATCGGGAAGAACGAATCTCGTAACACCAATGTAGTGTTAAAAGGCAGGCATTCTTTATTCACGGCACCGGATGCAAGGGGGATCGCTCCACCTAACGTACATATATTCAAGTGGCAACTTGCCCTGTTTATATGAGGCAAAGTGTTACATATGCATTAATTTTCCCAATATGCCTATACATATGCATAACCTGTCCCCACTTTGTATTAAAATTAGCTTCAGGAGGTCATTTCCATAAGTCCCTCCCCACTGCGCTTGCTCAGTGCCTCCTTGTGGTGGTCGTTTGGGGTCGTGGGGATGAAGGCTGATGGCTCCTCTTCGTCACCGCTAGTAACCCCTTGTTCTTGCGCAGACTCAGTTGCTCCTTGGTTCTTGCCCAAACTGCAGGGTCCGTTTAGACCAGTTCTTAAGGTAAACTCCTGGTTCTTACCGAAAACTGTCCTTCGTAAGGAGCCACAAATCTTCCTGCGTCTGTTAGTTCTCATTCCTCCTAGTCAAGCAACCTTGACAAATCGTTATTATCTTTTTGCTTCATCCCCTCCCGATTCTTCCCATCCTTGAACAAGGTTCTAAATTTACTAAGTAACTACTGACTTTACCAAAGCATTAGCAAACTAGACAATAAGGCCTAAGTCTTATGCATATAAGCCGCTTACATCTGGGGGTCTTTTAACCCTTAAGGCATCACAGGCACAGATATGCCAGCTTGTTCTGACCATTTGCAGAGGGGCAAGAAGTAGTTCAGGCAACTGGGATCAGAAGTCGCTGCTTTTGCAGCTGCTGTCTCCTTTGCGTGGAGAAGAAGGCTGGTTCCTGCAGGCCACTTCTAAGCAGCTCCTGCATGGCTAGTCATACAGGTAGTCTCTGGTCTATATACTATAGAAGAAATTAACTCGCAGTTAAATTCCTTGCATCGTTGTGAAATTCACAAGAGTTTTGGCATGTTTCCTTTCTCCCCAGTGTTACCTACCCCGTCACCAGGTCAGAAGTAAAAAACGTACTCTTGCTTTCATTTGATTGCACAAGTTGCCTAGGAGATTGCTGTTACAGGAAAACTGGTAAGAGTTCTGTGCTGGAGTTTGCTTATGTGCATGCTGTCTTTTATTTTACAGCATGAATGGGAGGTTAAAACAGCTTCCTATTTCTTCTGCATCAGAGCAAATAGCACCAATTCAACTAAACATCAGTCCTCTCTAGATTGTCCTCTATTATGGCTTAAGTGCAGGAATTAATCTTCTTAGGCTATAAACTGGCAATCTTGTAAGCCTATTTTCTGCTTCTAGGTAGTGGAAACTTACTTTCTTGTCATTCTCCATTTCCATCTGATTTTGGGGAACAAAGAAGGAAACAAAAATGCTGTCTTTCCCCTGTGTTCTGCACTTGTATCTTGTTGCAAAACCAAAGAGTTTGAGGATATTAATAGGTTAAAATACCTCATAGATGCTTCATCAGCAAATTTTTGAGATAAGTAAAAAAGGTCCTCATTAAGAATTAACTAAGCATAAATGGAGTAAATAAGATTTGTCATATGCTTGAAAGCTAACATTTTAATTTAACAGCAAGGAAAATTTTGGCAAGGACATTACACACATACTAGTGTAGAGTCTAACTTCTAATATTTTCATGATTGATTTGCAAATTGTCCACATGGTTGCCTGTCATTTGTGGTTAAAATAATCCAGAAACGGAGCTTCGTTCAGCATCTGTAGAACAGGGTTTTTTTCATTTCTGTAATGGTGACCACATTTCAAAATGTCATGGGCAGCATTAGCAATGATCTTTTTTTCTCCCTGGGGAATTAACAGAGGAATGCTCCCTAACTGAAAGATCCATGATTTGATTTTAATATTGCACATAAATTATACACAAATG